CGTATAGGTTTAATTTACAAGCGCCAAACATTTTTTTCTTATAACTACCTTTTGATACACTTCAATAGTTGAATCAGTAATCTAATGACACGAGCAGAAAAAAAAATAACAGACAAAATTGTTGGCAAACATTATTTTTTCATTATTTTTATTTTAACATACAATCATAAAAATCAATACCTATTATAATTTTAATTTATTATTATAATCGTAATTAATTAGGTTACATTTTTTTCATCACCGTTACTTTTCTTACAATATCATAAATTTGAATTCTTTATTGAGGTGGCTAAGGTCATAATGGTAAATTTGTAAATGGTATTCGATAGTCGATACTAATATACCTAATATTTAGGTAGGTGCCTTCAATTTGAATTAATTACAGATTTTTATAATAATCAAATACCATTATTACCTTAGCCACCTAATTAAGTATTCAAATTTAGTAAGAAAAGTAACTGTAATCAATTAATTAGGTATGATTATAATAATAATTATTACAACAATAGTACCTACTACTTATTTTATGATTGTATGATATTCTAAATTAACTATTAAAAGTACGAAATAAAATTTTGTGTTTGTAAATATCCAAAACTAAAATGATGGAAAGGGATAAATTCCAACTCCTCAGTTCATACTATGCATGCGATACCATTATAGGGAATCTATGGTTAAAATTTCAAGTATACACAACTACGAAAAGAGCACCACAGAATATTGCACTTTTTCGTTGCACATATTAATGCCAACAATCGAATACTATTTACCAATTGGCAATTTACCATTATTACCTTAGCAACCTATCTAATAAATAATTCAAATTTATGATATTGTAAGAAAAATAACTGTAATGAAAAAAATGTAAAGTAGGTAATTAGTTACGATTATAATAATAAATTAAAATAATAATATTGATTTTTATGATCATATGTTAAAATAAAAATAACGAACTATGTTTGCCAACAATTTTGTCTGTTATTTTTTTTTCTGCTTGTGTCATTAGATTACTAATTCAACTATTGAAGTGTATCAAAAGGTAGTTATAAGAAAAAATTGTTTAGCGCTTGTAAATTAAACCTATACCAATTATTTCAATTAAAAGTATATTAATGCATATTTTACTAATCTTTAGAGGACCATAGTTAATAAACTAGAGAGCCAAAATGAATGATTCGACTATCAACATTTTCAGAAAAAAAGCTTTATAAGAATTTATTAAAAAATATAGTGGTTGCCATTTGAAAAAAAGTTGATTTTGAAAACTTTTGAAATTGTTATAAAAAAAACTGCCTGTTAAAAATAAAGAAACACATCTTTTTTCGTTTTAACGAAATTCCATATCATCGTTCCATAATCGTTAAAAAACCCCTCGTACAATGAGTGAGTGCGGTGGCTCGTGACTAGGTGTGCAGGTGTGCGCAATACACCACATAGATTAATTAGATATAATAGTGAAAATGTATAATAATAATGAATAATAATAAATTAATTTTAATATTGTATCTGTTAAACTGTATTTATTATATAAAAAAATTAAATTTTAAAAACAAAAAAATTATTATTATACTCCTAAAATGTAATTGAGCTATGCAACAAATAATCATCAACTGGCGTGCAGTTCAGTCTGAACACCGTCTGTCCGTATGAAATACGTTTGGTTGTCGAGTGGGGATCGGCAATTATATGTGACTGGTGTGCAGCAAACTCGTCAGGCGGTCGCACGCAATAAACACACACACGGAGAAAGATATCAACGCAGCGCTCTGCACTGGTTTTAATTTGTAAACTCCACCGTTTTTCTATTTTAATATTATAAGTTATGAAATGTTGTCTGTTGTAACAATAAATAAAATATTCTATATACCTAACTAATATAGAATATTATTTTCTAAAACTGTAGAATCTCAAAATTAAGAATACTAATAAATATTTTACTAATTACATTTATACTTAAAACAAACTAATTTTTTTTTAAATTAACTTTAAAAATAATTGCACACTACCTACTTTGAACACCACGAGCCGCCACTATAATGAGTGCCGTATTACGTATTTAATTCTATTTTTAATTATAAAAATATAAAAAAATTGGTTGAGTAGAAATAGTACATATACCTACCGGTGAATAATATCCAATATCGAAAAAAATTTAGTTTAAAAGCTAAAACGCTAAAAAAAAATTTTAGGTATGTGACTTCACTGACTTCTTTCTTTAGTATTAAAATGTAATAGGTATAGATCAATACCAAATCCATTGTAACTCAGTTCAAACTGCTAAATAGAACTAAACAAAAATATTTAATTTGTATTCATTAATAGGTAAATAGACGCTTAAATAATAAAGCAATGCAAATTTGTAATTTTTTTTTTATATTAATTGCTGTTTAAATGATACTTGTAATATAATAGGTAGACACAAAAGGCCTAGACACAATAAGTAGATATTATTGATTTTAAAAAAAATAAGGAAAAACGTGAATTAAGCAAAATCGGGTTTTGACAAAATTTATTTTGGTTTATGGTGTAACTCTTAAAAAATTATTGTAGATACATGAAATTATGAAATTGTCACTGAATGTTTATACTAGGTAGCACTTTTTTTTGTTTTTTTTTTGTCTATCACCATTGTTTGGGACTTAAAACTGCTTCGATTTTTTTCAACAGTATCTTGTTCGAAGGGAAAATGAATCTGTGAATCTAGTTGGTGAATTCGGGAGGTCAACATTTAAAATTCCCAGTAGTTTTAAAAGCGAGGGAAAAAAATAAATATTTAAGAAGAACTGGAATTTTTACGCAAAATCGATTTTGGTTATTGATGTAACTCTAAAACAAATTACCGTATAAACATGACTTTTCACTGGTTGTTTATATTCGAATTTTATATACACGATATTTACAATTTTTTTAGTTTTATGAATGTCATTAAAAATGTATTTGTTGGGTAAATATTAAATAAGCTAGAAAATTCAATACAAGGCTTTTATTGTTACAATGACATTTGGAAAATATTAAATATGCACAGGCACTCATTTTTCTTAAAGCATTTAAAGTTCGAATTTAGACAAAATGTATCAAATTTAAAATTTAAAAGTTATTTTGTAGTTAAAAATATATAAAATGTTCAACTTTTATAGCTAAGGATTGAACATTTAAAACAAAGTTCCACGTAATTAGCTTAATCTGTAACCAAAAAATCTCAATAACATAAAAACCTACAAGGCTGCAAAGATAAAGAAAAACAACCAAGAATAACGATTAATTTCAAGTTTGTACGAAATTAGATATTTACACGAAGAAGAACGATTTTAGTTTTGGGTTATAATTTAAAAATATTATTCGTGGGTGCTTGAAACTTCTAAAGTATATTATTATATTATATACAAATATTATTAATTAACTATTACCGCGGTTACCGTATTAATAATACTAAAATAAATATAATATAAAAATATATCCTTGGCTGACAAACCATCTCCGCAAGAATCGTTTTCCTTGTACAAAATTGTATCATTGAATTCAAATTTAACACTATATAAATGATACAAATTGTATCCTTCTGTACAGTAGAGCGATATCCAATTACCCTCTTTTTTCCTATAATCTTCTGAAGTTTAAATGCACGAACATTAGTTTGAAAATTATTTTCTACCTAGTTAATAATTTGTAACATTTTCAATTTTAATAGCTAAGACTTGAAAATGTAATATGAGGTTCATCATGATTCATCATTTATGATTAATATTTCATATACTTATAGTTTATTTTATGCAATTTCGAATGGCATTTATGTTTAAGTCAAAAACTATTTATACAAATATGTGTACGCTACGAGTTCAATTATTATGATATTAATATTCTATAAATAAATAGAATTTCTTAAATTAAAAACCGTAAGTCAAAATGCTACCAATAATACTTTAAATAATGAATAGATGTATATACCTTTAAAAAAATGTCTGATAATACAAATTCATGAGTTTTTCTTACTGCTTATTATCTAATAATAATACATTTATGACCGCATCATATTGTGTTTAATTTTAATGGACCTTATACAAAATATATATTTTGCATGTTACAGTTTGTGAGTATTCATAAATGCATGTTTTTCTCAAAAAGATTCTTTACCAATCGTCAGATATGCCAGACCATAATTATATACCCCATATGATCACTTTTGCGTTGTAGTAATAAAGTATTATATTATTAATATTTAGAAGAATATTTGTTTGCATTTCATTCATAAATAGGTACGCATCAACATTAAAGTTATTACCATTGTCTAGGTATAAGATGTCTAAATTCTAAAGTGTTAGTTCGTAGATTAATATAGACATATAAGATTTTTTTTATTATTAATGCTTGGTACATTTAAATAAGATATTTAAATTTTGTGGAATAAATATTATGATATTTTTGAATTTTGGATTTCATTCCATAATATGGAATATAACATATTACACATTATAACATATTATGTTTTTATATATTATGAGAAATTATTATTTTTAAACTTAATAATTTAAAAAAATTAATACCCAATATTATTAGTAAATAAATGTATGTATAGTAAGTAAAGAATAAAAAATAAATTAATGATTATACCAGCTTTGAAAATAAAATGTATACGATTTATTTTATTATACGATTATATGCACATGTAAAAATTAATTTCTGTACTAATATTCTACAAAAATAATAAACAGCCTAATATTACAATCGATTGCATATTTACATGTGTTAGTTTAAAACAATTATATAATTATATAATATATTATATAATTTCCATTAACAAAGTTAAATTTCAGAATTAAAATTATTGTTAAATACTATAGTTAAACATTATCCACACCCTATAAAATATATTGTTAACATTAAAAAAATGAAGTACCTAACATAAATATATGAAGTCGTTTTTTTTTTGTTAAGTGTTAATACAATTTAAATTAAATTAAAACCAAACTTAATACTATATATTTTGTACATGTCCCATAAAATTATATAAAACTCGAGTAATCATCAACTTCGACACAAGAAAACTTTTGATCTAATTCGTGTTGCATTTCTTTTTCGTCCCACAACTTGACTGCTTCTAGAACTCCTTTTGTAACAGTTATTTCATTTTCAACTTCCTCAATTAGATCATTTTCTTTTAAAAACTTTATTTGAACATCGTATTCTATATGCGATCCATTGATAGCTGCTTGAGTTTTTACGTAAACTTTAGAAATAAATTCATGTTCATGGTCAATCGAAGAACTCGGATGATTCTGAGGCGAAATTGTAGCAAACAACTGATATTGATGAAGCAAGTGTGCTTTCTTTAAAAATAAACAAAATTCGTCCCCTTTATTTGGTATGAGATAAGCGAAAGCAGACGTCATCATCACTCTAGGATAGTTCTTACAAATAGTATCCATCAATTCAAAAGATACAATAGGATTTTCAGCTTTATTTTTAAGGTTCAAGCATGTTAATATTGGGACGCTCTCACAAATTCTGGATAAAGTCACTGCAGACTTTGAGTTTTTAGCTTTTGAGACCAATTCATATTTTATTTTAAGTCTTTCGAATTCTGATTTAAATTCTGGTGATGATTTTATAACGATTTTTTCCAAATTGTCTCCTGTCTCAATGCCTAACTTAACCAACATTCTTATATCTCTATCCATAACTTTTTTATCGGAATTTTTAGCAGCCATATAAGATAGAATAACTTTAGGGTCAAATTCCTGCTCGTAGTTTTTTTTTAATAACCACGATGGTACATATTTAGCAAACTTACTGAATTCCTTAGCCATTTCAAAATTAGTAGACCGCATTTTGCACATCATTCCATTCAATTTTGTTTTTAGTTCATCAGCTGTAAATAAGTTCATCTCAGCGATTATTTCTTCCATAGACCGTTCACGTGTGGGTTCAGAATTCTCAGATGATTCGGGTGTAGTACCTACTGTAGTCTCTGGTACTTCTTGTGTGGACATGTTTCTCTTAACGGCAGACGCGAAAGTATAAATTATATTATAATACTTGGCGAATAAGACGTGTTGAATATCAAAACGAGTAATATAAGAATTCAAATTTAAAACACAACTACGTAAATAAATTATTGAAATACGCCACGCAGAAATAACATTCGAAAAAAAAATGTACTTATAATAATCTTACGACGGAACTATCATTATAATAGGTAAGCGCAAACTTATAAAATTTCAACTGAAAATTATAACATTATACGAATAACGACGGCTGTATACTGAAGAGTGAAGACTGTCGGACTAGCGAGGTCGGAGAGAACCTAAATTTAAAATCATATTAATTATTAATTAATTTAGGTAAGTATACATAATCCATATATACCTATATTCATCGATTTCTATGCAAATAAACAATGGTAATATTAGGTATAATGTAGAGGCAATGGGCAATAGATTATGACAGTCGACCGCTAATAGTCAATAGATGGGTAACATAATATTTAGTCAAAATCGCTAAATGGTACTATAATATGAATAAAATGACGATACAATTAAGTGGCAGTATATTATTGTCTTATACATCCATTACGTACACCAATAAAAATTAAAATGCAATAATAATGTGTATGCGTATTATAATAATTATATAATAATATTATGTTTCTATATTCCATAATAGTCCGATTTCCGAATAGGTCAATATTAATGGCCCACCGTGAGAGCTATAAATTAATTATTACCTATACATTGCTACTTAAATTATATTATACATAGTAATATAGTATACTACATGATCAAAAGTACGAAACCTTAAAAAGTTAAAAGTTAAAAATAACACCTAATTTCTGATACTTAACTATTGATAATAACTAATTAAATATCTTGACAAACAAAATTGATAATTTTGCATATTAATGTATATTTTGTTATTAGAGCATATAAAATTAAAAAATGAAGAAATCTTCCAAGTGGGTGACGACGACTAGTCAGTAAATTAAAGTATGTAATATTTTAACTATTTTTTGATTTGTATACAACAAAATGATTCTAAGCAGAGTCAGCCTATATTACTAAGTATATAATATTATTGTATCGATGATTGATTAAAATTATTGAATTTATTGAATTCAAACCGACTACGCAACAGAAGTAAGCTCTCCTATTCTTATAAATATTTTTAAAAAATGACAGTCAGTGGCCATTTAAAACACAATACAAGGAAAGTAAGGAGTTTTTTTTCAGTTAAAATATTTATGACTTTAAAATATTAAAACGATTAAGCTTTAAAAATGTGCACTTGTTTTTTGCACATATATATTAATATATTTATTTAGTTATTTCAGACAAATCAATTACAATTAAATAATATACAATAAATATTATTGTATAAAATATAAATACATACAATAAATTACATTAATAATAGCTGATGCGCGTATACCAACTGAGCTAGATTAGTACCTAGCTATGTAAGTATAATATAATATATAGTGAGGAGTGACAATTTTTGTCTAAATATTCATGCTAAATTGAAGATTAAAATCTGTAGATTTTGCTTCAAGTAAAATAAAAATAAATAATCGTACCATTGGATTTAAATATGTTTGCATCAAATTCTAACAAAATATTAATTTAACCGTATTATAAATTATAATTGTATAATAGTACAGTAGCTTTATATTAAATTGATGTTTGCTAATATTAATATATAAATATATAGGTATATAATATTACTAGCTGATCCCGTGCACTTCGTTGCCCGTTAAATGTACCAACTCTATATGACTCAAACTTTGTTCAGTTGGTTATTTAATATTCGGTGTATGGTGTTCAAAATTTATCTTAACTTTTCTGTTGCCCAAAATAAAAATTCTGATTCGCCGCAGTACATTATCACTTATCAGGTAGGCGATCCCGTGCTGTTTGTACGTAAGTGTATGATTCAACTCTAAAGTATCAAAGTTATACCAAGTTTGTCGTTTTTACTTAATTCCACCTACGGTGGATTAATATAATCAATTAATACAAAATCCTATATTAACCTTTCATTATTTAGTTTATTTTTTTCTGGACAGATGGAGCCACTGTTGTATTTTTGACATCCAGATTTCCTACTTTTCCTAAATATATAATTATTTCCGTGAAATACTCTTTCGTTTAAAAAAAAAACCACGAAGAATAAGATCTGATAAGTAGTTCCAGAGTTTAGCCTGAACAGAGATTTTTATTTCACATTTATATAGTTAGATGTAGGTACTATTGATGGGCATAATTATGTAGTAGTACCTAGTAAGTATCTAAATTCTAAATATTAGTATTTAGTATTCCAACCCAAACATTATCATAACGTATGTAATAGCCAATAGGTATATAAAGTGGCGGCGTGAACCAATTTATTTTATGAGGCAAATATGGAAGCTAAAGGTTAACCACCACCACCTAAATTTCATTACACATAGACCCGTGGGGGCTACGCCCCCACACCAACCAATTTACAATTCTACTACAATAATAGGTATACTTTGTAATGGTGGCTCTGAATCAAAGTTTAAGTAAAAATAGTAAAATTACTTATGTTTATGTTCCTCATACTATTCATATAAATTATTAAGAGGACGTGATACCCGTATGCGTTGTCTCCGTCTTACTTATGTCCAATATGGCAAAAAACTGTTTTTGGCGGGATAGAACCACTCCCTTGGTATTTATAGTATAATTACCAAAATTAGAAAATTACTTAATCTGTATCGTAGCTTTTTTATTTTTTTTATAGCATTTACCAATAATTGTTAATAATTAAATGAAAAAAACAAAAAAATCCTAAATTTCCATAACTGATAACTTTAATTTTATTTATGTTATCCGAATAATAAAAAAGCTACGACAGTACGACACAGATAAAGTTGTTCCCTATGCGTTGTGGAATTTTGGTTTTTCTTCTATAAATACCGAGGGAGTGGTTCTATCCCGCCAAAAACAGTTTTTTGCTATGTTGTACATATGTAAGACGGAGACAACGCATATGGGTATCGCGTCCTCTTAAGACAACCATCATTATTTTGCTAACCATGAATCTAAGGAATCAACAACTGGACAACTGGACTAACAACTCAAACAATTTAAACAATCTTAATGATGTTACACCTTACACAGTAACACAGTACCTAACCAATCCATTTCTCGACAATGTAACGTAGAGTACCTACCTAATATTTACACAGGTATGTATGTCGTATGTGAGTATGTGACTATGTGAGTGTAAATTATAAGCTATAGTGCAGAGATTCCCAACCAGGGTGCCGCGAAATTTTTTTAGGGTACCGCGAAATTATTTTAAATATTTTTTTAGAAAAAACAATTTCATTAAAAATAAATACAATGTAATAATTTGTTTATAAAATGTAATATGTATATAGTATGCACCTACACCTTACTCCTTTTGATTATACTTTATACTAATAAATAGAACCGAAGTACTATATAGTATAGACTATAGAGCATAGGGTGCCTCCGGATTTTTAGAAAATATCCAAGGGTGCCGCGAGTCAAAAAAGGTTGGGAACCTCTGGGTTAGTGGGATTCCCACCCCCAATTTTGCATTAGGAGGCCGCCTCATATAAAAAAGCTATTTACGCCACCACTGGGTATATTCTTTGGTCTTAACGACTTACGTATCTTAGATTTTTAGTGTATACTAAGTGAGCTCACTAAGCTATTAAGAGGCGTAATTTTGAGTAGGTAAAGATGTAAAATCACGGGGTAGAGACTATAGCAAGCATCTTGACAAACATTTTTAATTCATTGTAGAAAACTACATTCAGTTGTAGTTGCGTTTCCTTCACCAGTATGGCGTGTATGAACTTAATCAATGTAAACTAGAAACACGAGGGTACGATACGTCGCGATACGCGTCCATGTGAAACGGATCTAATGAAGCTGGTTGGTGCCATGGCGGATCGATAAATTATAGTGAATTGCACATCAGAATATTAGTTACAAATATATATCGTACATCTCACAATTTATTATTACTGGAGTTAAATGGTAGTAGGCAGTAGCTGGCACTGCAGTAGGTAATAGGTATGCGTGTCACGCAATGCTCGTGTATAGCCCACTCATTTAAATTGGCCTTGCTATACAGAAGGGCTTATTAGGCTCCCGTGGAATTATATTTGTGTCTAGACTCTAGATTAAAGTATATGATAACAAAATACTATCTTTATAGCTTTATAATATATATTATATTTTCGTACCATTGACGATTAAGCATTTTCAGAGTAAACGGTAATTATTTTCTTATAATAGGTACAATTATGAAAATAAAATATATTCGACAAGTCAATAACAAACTGTATAACTATAACTTATAATTAATAATTGTAGTATGGTTATGCGGTTAAGGACAGTTATTTTTAAAATGTATAACTTAAGAATAAAAGAAATTCCACAAAATGCTATGCGTATACAATTTCTATATTCATTTCAACACTGGAACTGTGGGTTGTGGATTGTAAATTGTAATTTAAAAGACGTGATTACCTATACGCCGAGCAATGAGCATATTATCATACGCCAGTAATACTGGCCATGCATAACGTTTTGAATTATGTACCTACGGGCTACATTATATACTATAATAGGAGTGTAATAGGTATTCTCCAAACAAAAGTTATACAAGACCTATAGTCTACAAAAATGAAATAACAATAGTACAATAGTTAATAACATATTATTTATTATATATAATTTATTATTAATAATAATATTATTGTATAATGTATTATTAAGTATGTACCTATTGACTATTGTTACTGTTTAAATGTTTAATGTCTTAAATAACAACAGTATAGTAATGTCATAAACTCATCACCTATAATAGTTATTACTACTTACTAGTTACACTAATTACCCGGGTGGACCATGTGAACCATTAAATATTAAAATATGTAATACACGTATATACGGTAGGTATAATAGTAAATATATAACACACTAATGCAGTATTA